GGAAATTGGGGGGGAACTCAGCCTCAGTTTCCCATTGTGTCAGAGGCAGGTATTGAGCCTTCCATGCAGGGTTGCAGTAAAATTAGGTGCAGAGCAAATGAAAGCTGCAGCACTATGCCCAGCACACTAGGACTCTGGAGCCATTTTGTTATTTATATATATATATATATATTTGAAAAAAGGGAAAAAGAAGCATTTTGGAAATGTTTTGCTTAGTAGCTGTTTGTTTTAACTTATTGCCTCTAAGTAAAAACATTTTCTTACACCATCACTGTCTACAACCACATTCCAGATATATATATATTTTTAAAATATATTTTTATTGATTTCAGAGAGGAAGGGAGAAGATGAAAAAGATAGAAACCTCAATGATGAAAGAGCGTCATTGGTTGGCTGCCTCCGGCACGCCCCATACTGGGGATTGAGCCTGCAATCAGGGCATGTGCTCTGCCCTGGAATCGGAACCGTGACCTCCTGGTTCATAGGTTGACGCTCAACCACTGAGCCATACCAGCTGGGCCCAGATACATTCTTCCCTCTGCTCTTTCTGGATATTTCTTGAAATGATACGGTATATGCTTCCCGCTTCTTACCCCATAAAAATCATATCATCCTTCAAGGCTTTAAGCAAATGTCTCCATAAAGCCTTCTCAGACGCTCTAGTGCTGGGGAGAGGACATAACCAGAAGATCTCTGAACCTGAAAATGGGATTAAAAATAGTCATAGTGTGGATGAAAGGAGATAATGTATATGAAATGCTAATCATCATATCCAGCTCATAGTACATTATTCTAAAGAAAAAGAAGAATAACTTTTCTTTCAGGTAGTGCCAATGAGAATGGAAAGAAAACCAGAAAGTACATACAGGGACAGGCCTCAGTGGTTGATTCCTTGTATGGAGTGGGAAGGAGAGGGAGGGGACATGGATGACACTTGGATCTCTAATTTTTGAGCATGGGAAATGAAGGCATTCATGGAGTTAGGGACAAAAGTGATTTTTTTTTTTTCTTTCTGTGGGGGTTTCATTTTTGTTGTTTTGTTTGAATGCAATGTTGCAACTAGAAGACATGGCACTTGGTCCTAGGCATGTGGAATTTAACAAGTTCTTGGGACACCCAAGATATCCAAAGTCTGTTGACTATATGGGTCTGGATCTGAGGCGAGTGGTATTTGAGTGTCTCTTTCTCTTTCTCTTTCTTTCTTTCTATCATGGGCCTAAGTCATCCTTCAACTCATTTGAAAGATAATAACTTATAGACCCATGGTTTAGACTCTAGAGCAACGGTTCTCAACCTGTGGGTCGCAACCCCTTTGGGGGTCGAATGACCCTTTCACAGGGGTCACCTAAGACCATCGGAAAACACATATATAATTACAGATTGTTTGTGTGATTAATCACTATGCTTTAATTATGTTCAATTTGTAACAATGAAATTGGGGGTCACCACAACATGAGGAACTGTATTAAAGGGTTGCGGCATTAGGAAGGTTGAGAACCGCTGCTCTAGAGTGTCTCTATCCCTCTTAATTTATTTATTCACTTAACACATATCAAACACCTACTATGTGTTAGGGACAATGCACAACACTAGGGAAACAGTATGCAAAATGGATATGGCTCTCACCCTTGTGATGGTCAGCTGAGACATTAACATGAGACAAAAATTCAGCATTTGTGGTTCTTACGTAAAGCTTTGTGAACACAGGGAGTAGCCTATACTTTAAAAATTTTCCAGAGTATTGTTTTTCCTTTCTGGGTTTTAACTTTTATTACCACAGGAAAAGCTTTATTTATACTATATGTTTCTTACTTTGAATTCTACATTGTCTTATGATAATATTGCTACCTCAAATTTTTTTCACTTTCATGCCATAATTTTGATCACTGCTGGATTTTATCTCTTCTAACATGTGAGTTATTTTTCCACTTTACTTAATTTTTATTTGTTAAGACTGAGATTTAAAAAAACTCCTAACATAAAATTTTCCATCTTTATCACTTTTTAGTTGCAGCTCAGTAGTACTGACTAGATTCACATTGTTGTGTAACAGATCTCTAGATCTTTTTCATCTTGTAAAACTGAAACTCTGTACCCATTGAACAACAACTTCCTATTTCCCATTCACCCCACCCCTGGGCAACCACAGTCCTTTTTGTTTCTATGCGTTTGACTATGTTAGATACCTCATATACGTGGAATCGGATAGTGTTTGTCTTTTTATTAGTAGCTTGTTTCACTTAGCATGATGTCCTCAAGGTTCTCACATGTTGAACATGTGATAGGATTTCTTTCCTTTTTTAAGGCTGAGTAATATTCCATTGTGTGTGTATAGCACATTTTCTTTATCCATTCATCTTTTGATGGACATCTGGGTTGAGGAAGCTGCTATAAACAGTGAGTGACATGAATATGAGTACCTCTTGGCTATTGTGGATAATGCTGCAATGAACACGGCGTGCCTCCAGATGAAGACATTAATCCAGCTCATGCCTGAAGATGGTTTTGACTATAACTAAAATGGCAGGCTTGAGCTGGCAGGGAGGAGACGTGGATCCCATCTCTGGTTGTCTGAGAGCAACAGCAGAGTGAAGGAGAAATACCCTGAGTGACTCAGAGCAGAAAGTGTCCTGTCTGAAAGGGCACACATAGGCCGACCCTGTGCAGGACACCATGCTCGGCACTTTCCTATGGAAGGAGAAGTGTGGGAGGTTTCTTGAATTTAAAAAATTATGACAATAAAGTTTTTTTATTCAAATTCCCATGATGATAAAGAATAAGGAAAACAGGAACAGGCCCAGCAGGGGAGGATATGGGAAACTCAGCATGGAGGTGTTATTTGGAAAGAGAGTGCATTGTGAAAAGAATTATATTCACACTTCAAATATAATATAGACTACTGAAATTTAAGCTTAACATGTTTTCTGACTGTTGGGGTGTGGATTATGGTAGTAAAGAAAGTGGTCTGTGTGGCTGATGAGACAGAAACCAATCTCTCAAAGGATGCAAAAGCCCCGGGCAGGGTTACAGCCTGATGATCTGAACTCTCTAGGTTGTTTACTCTCTTAAAGAACTTCAGTTTCCCTTGGAGGAGGGGGGCGGGCTGAGTCTGGATCTGGACCCCAGTCATGCCTGTGGGTGGTATTCCTAATAAAATGAGTTCATACACAGAAGTCAAGACCAGCTATGAGTTTCTCTGGGGACTGGGTACTATGCTCTCAAGGAGAGAAAGAAAAACCACTACAAACTTAAACGACTTAAACTTTCAATGGTTTCTCTTAGTCCATCATTTCAGTCCTTAGAGGAGAAAAAATACAGTGGGGCCTTGACTTACGAGTGTCCTGACTAACGAGTTTTTCAAGATACGAGCCATCTCTCGGCCGATTTTTTGCTTTGAGTTGCGAGCTAAAACTCGGGTTATGAGCCAGCTTCAGATACCCCACCGCTAGTTGGCGCAGCAAACGTCACAGTGAACGCCACATCAGCCCAGCATCACATGTCTCACTCGTTCTCTTTTTGAGATTTGACATACGAATAATTTGAGTTACGAGCTCCGTCACGGAACGAATTAAACTCGTAAGTCAAGGCCCCACTATATTGCCCACTCAACTTGTTGGTACTTTACTGGAGCTTCTTTACTTGTAACCATAGCAAATATGCTTATTTTGTGGGACAGGGAAGCAGAGAAGGCGCTGGCCTGGGGGTCTGAGATGGGTCCAGTTCCAGCTTGGCCACTGAGCAGCTGGGTGGCTTTAGACATGTGCCTTCCCTCTTGACTATCAGCCTACCTTCTGTAAATCCCTGCAGCACTCAGACTAGACACTTCGTCCGTTTCAGCTCTAACGCTCTGTGAATTAATGATATCACTTGTGCCTTGGATGCATTCTACTTTTTATTTGGCATTTGTTCATTTGATACATATATACATATATAAAAATCTGTACATGTTAAAAATACAAAATATTTCTTTATAAGTTATGCAATTAAACAGCTACCTTTTAAAGTTTAAAAACCATTGCAAAAAAAAGAGAGAGAGAGAGAGAGAGAGAGAAGGAAATCTAGTCAGTCCTTTCGAGTCACTCACAATAACCTTGGTATAAAATATCCATACAATACATGTGTACAAAATAGTGTACAGTTCATAAAAGCTGTGCAAAGACAGCAACGTTCGGTAAAGAAAATAATATCCAAGAGGCTTGTGGGTCTCTCTCTGTTCATCATGCCCAGAGCTCAGGAGCTTGGCAGGTCAGCGAAATCTCCCCAGAAATAACACAAGGGCACAAGGTAGAGTGCTTGGTGCATAGACTATGGATGCAGAAATTCTTAAAAAAAAAAAAAAAAAAAAAGCTTTAACTCACACATACAGAAATAGAGACTGACTTTTCCTCCCGTTTAGGGAACTCAATTCTTTGCCCAGAGAGTGTTTAGAATATGACAGAATAGACTCAGGATTAATGTTACACCTTTCTTTCTTTTTGGAAATTCTTGAGTTTTCGCAGGGCAGTGTCATGGGAAGACTGGTTACCAGGGTCTGGAGTTGGGTAGGAGCCCCTTGCTACCCCAGATAGGGGGGTGGAGGGATCTAGGAAGTCAGGGGTCTTGGAGTTAGAAGCTTGTTGCGGCTCCTACCTGGGTTTCCTCCTCCTCACAGGGTCTCCCACCTCGTAGGGTTGTCGCTGCTACGGACCAGCAGGGCCTGGTTCCCAGCTAAACCCAGGCTGCGAGGGAGCGCCCCACCGTGTTTAAAACAGCTTGCAGGAAAGATGGAGGGAGCCCTGGTGTACAAGTTAAGGCTGCGGCTAAGGCCTACATTTAACTTGTGGGGAGAGGGCTGTTGAGGGGTGGTGCCTGGGAAGGAAATGTTCCCATGGGCCATGCAAGGGGCTGGAGCGCCCTGGACAAGGCGACGGGTCCACCGCGGGAACTAAGTGAACACCCCACTGCCCCCACCTCTCCCATTTCAAAGCACTTAGAAACAGTACCCCGGGCGAGGGGGGCTTCTAAGACACCGTGATCTCCTCCTCCTCCTCCTCGCCCTCCTCGTCCTCCTCGGAGTCCGAGAAGTCCGAAGGTTTGCCCGGGCTGCTCGAGTGCGCGGGGGAGGCGCTGCTTCACTGTGTGTCACTGTTTCATAAGCCTGGCTTTAGGTGTAGATTTGCAAAGGAAGTGCCAAGCGCGGGCTGTAGTGTTTTGCATGAATTGAGTTACTTCTACACTTTGCTCTATGGGGGGTTGGGGGGGTGCCCCTGTCAGCCTGGCCTGTCCGGGGAGATTGATTTCCTAGTTGTGTTTGATATGATTGATAGTGTAAAGATGCAGAGACAGATTTCCCCAGGAGTTTAATTCCGTCTGCTTTGCTCTCTGGAAATTGACTCTTACCAATCAATAAGAAAAAGTCAGACAGTACAGTAAAAAGTGGTCGAGGGCTAGACACAAGAAAGTCATAGGAGAGGAGATCCAAATGTCCAGGACAGGCATGAAGGGACCCTCCGCTTCACATGAAACATTTTCATGCGTCAGCTTGGTTAAACACTTAAATGATTGC